GGTAAAGAGTTCAGACAAAGTCCTTGCTCTCTGGAAGCTCAAATTCTAAGGTGAGGAGTGGGGGAAACAGATAAATAAGCAAATAAGTGACCATATGAACAAACACTCAAGATAAATTCAGATAAATTTTAAAATGATACAAAGTCAACAGAACAAAGAACAATGATGGAAAGTGATGGAGAAGGGTAAGCCATGGGAGCCTGGACAATGCAGACAGAAAGAGCAGGGAAGGCTTCTCCAAGGAAGGTGCATTTGAGCTGAGATCCAAAGGATGAGAAGGAGCTAGGCGTGGGGTGACATGATTTCAGAACTTTCTAGGCAGAAGGAATAGCAAGTGCAAATACTCCAGGGCAAGAGCAGGCTTGGCATGTTCCAGGAGCAGAAAGAAGAGAGGTCCTTGTGTCACCCCACGAGCAAAGGAAAGAGCGGCAAGAGGACATAGGGAAAGGCCAGATGCCCTTGGCGGCCATCATGAAATGTTTAGACTTCACTGTGCAAGCATGGGCAGCCATTAGGGAGTGTGGAAAAGACTATTAGTTGTCTCTCTCTGCCCCCACCCATCCAGTCTCTCCTTTTTTTTTAGTCCTAGAATGCTTGAGTTTTAGCCAGCAAATGCCCACACGATTAGAAAGTCCATTTTCCAGTCTTTTTTGCATATATGTGTGGCCATAGGATTACGCTCCTGTCAACAAGACGTGTGCAGAAGTGATGTATGCTGCTTCCAGACCTAGTTCTTGAAATGTTTGAGCATGTGCCCTCCACCTTCTCTTTTCCTCATCTCAGTGGTTGGTGCATGCATCTAGCTAGAGAGCCAGCTTTGACTTTGGAGAGTGCAGGGTAGCACCTTATGACATGGTGAGCACCAAGATAGAAGGACTCTGGTTCCCTTCCTGGCTGTACACAACTTGGTCACCTGCCTGCCCTGAATCATCTGCCTTCCTTTGCTTGAGCAATTGCATTTTTGGTTTCTTTGTTATATCAACTCAGCCTGCATCCTAACTAATACAGGACGTTTCAGGTAGGAAGGTGACATGATCTAATTTACATTTCAAATAGATCAATCTAGCCGCCATGTAGATAATGTATTGGGAGAGGAGAGAGAACGAACAGGGAGGCCAGAGGCCAGCTCAGAAGCCATTGCAGTAATCCAAACTAAAGGCATTGATGGCTTAGGGTAGCCACTCTACAAATAAAAAGAAGTGAATAGATTTGGGATCTATTTTGGAAGTAGAACCAAAAAGATTTGAGAAGGGATTGGATGATTGGGAGAGAGGTTGAGAAAAGAATATTAAGGTAACGCCTAGTTTGGGGTCCTTCGGTGATTTCTCCAGATATCTAGATGGGATCTGAAGAAACAGGAGGTGGGCCCCATGGAAGGAGATTGGGACATCCCTGACATAAGAAACTACCCGTGAGATAGCAAACTCAGAGATGATGCATGCCACAAATGTCAGTCTAATAGTCTTCTGTATAGACACAGATTTCATGCCCCACATTTGAGCTGAAAATACTTAAGATTATTTTAGTTGCATGTAACAGAAACCAACTCTGACTAGTTTAAGACATAATAATTTACTGGAAGGATTGACACAGCTCATAGAACCCAAGTATAGGCAGATCTTTTAAAAGGACTAGAACTGAGAACTAGAAAGATTACAGGAACCACCAATAGTCTTAGCTCTTTTTCTCTATCACTTTTTTCACTTTTCCATAGATATGACAAATGACGGTATCTTCAAGGATTCTGAGTTCATTTTACTTCTAGCAAACAAACAATACCAATCTAGATACCCTTAACCCCCTGGGAGTAAGAATTTAACTAGCTTTTCCTGGGTCAGGGTCCAATCAGCTATAGCCAGGAAGATGAAACCAAAGAGTACAAACATGGCTGCCTCTGCCCATCCATGAGAAAAGGGCAGGTCATAGAGAAAGGGGTCTATGTGAGCTGGGGGGACACCCTCCCAGAGCCTTCTAACAAGGTCCATATTGACTAAGAATATCACTTTCATGGAGATACAGCACCGTAGGACTCGAATGGCCCTTTAGAATGATCTACCTCTAGTACAGAGTTAAATGGAAGCCATCTTGGGCTGATAAATATGTTTCTTATTTTTTGAGATATCTTGCACAGAAGATTTCATAGCTTTCCTTGGGGACCATTGGTGGGGACTTAGAATTCTCACAAATGCTTTCTGCTTGTTTCTCACCTTTGCACTTGTCACAGCCTGTGAAAAGCTCCTCTTGTTCTCTCCTCATTCAGAAGGCAGTCATTTGGGCACCCATTCTATCTGTCAGAATAACCCTCCCTGATGGTACACCTCCAGCAAGGCTGGATTGGAGTAAATATGGAATTCTGTAGATAACTGTCCTAGATATGACCCTGCAGCCTCAAAGATTTGTCTAAAGTATCCCTGAACAAACCATAGGGCTTTGGATCTTAGATTTGCTTTTTCTACAAGCATCTATTCTGCAAATAAGTAATCCCATCTTTCTCTTCCCCTTGCCCACTCTCAAACACTCATTCTTTATTCTCATCCAGGGCTGCTTCTCCCCACTTCTCTGAATAAAGTTTAAAATTGAGCTATAAGAACGGATATAGCAGCTCTTTATCTGTCAGAGAAAGATTAGCTAAGGATAGTTATGGGCCCCAGGCAAAGATGGGGATGCAGTCTGCCTCTTAAAGGCTTGATTGGGAGGATTTTATTGTTATTATAAAAATGCACTTTCTTTTAAAAGTTTAGAGCTGGATTTTTTTTCCTTCTGTTAGTCACAGGAGGTCATGCACTTTTCTTTATTAGACACTTCTTATTTTTAAGGCTGAGGCTTCACAGTATGCTCAGTGAGAACTATGGGAACTGAATGGGGCCTCCGAGGAAAGCCTCACCTCCGTCTGTAGAGCTGGAGGGACACATGTTATGAGCTTCTTGCCTCCTGGTAATATGTGTGGGTCAGAGCCCTTTCACCACAGAGCAAGTCCATGGCGGGGGTTGAAATATAATGTTTCCAAACAGCAAGGCAATGGAAAATGACCTTTTGCTATCCTCGCTACCTCATGATTTTTTTTACTTTTTTTATTATGCAAACTAATGATTGTGATCAAATAGATATTATGTATAAAAAGTGCTCTAAAAATATAATCTCATTATTTTTATGGGTTTTAAATTTTCATACCAGAGTTTCTGTTCATGGTGTTCATAGCCAGTGATCATCATCTCAACTGTCCCTCAACCAATAACTATCATGAGCTCTTGCTTTTTTTTTCCTCATTCTTTTATTGTAGTAAAATATACACAGCATAAAATTTGTCAGTTTATTTTTTAAGTGTACACTTCAGTGGCATTAAATACTTCACATTGTTGTGCAACCATCACCCCATCCATCCCCCCCCAAACAGAAACACTGTGCCCATTAAACACAAACTCCCTTTTCCCGCTTACCCTAGTCCCTGGTAACCCCTATTCTACTTTGTGTCTGTGTGAATTTGCTATTTCAGGTGTCTCATACCAATAAAGCATCCTTTTTTTTTTTTTTTTTGACAGAGTCTTGTTCTGTCGCCAGACTGGAGTGCAGTGGTGTGATCTTGGCTCACTGCAACCTCCGCCTCCCAGGTTCAAACAATACTTCTACCTCAGCATCGCAGATAGCTGGGACTACAGGCACACGTCACCACGCCCAGCTAATTTTTTGTATTTTTAGTAGAGACGGGGTTTTACCATGTTGGCCAGGATGGTCTTGATCTCCTGACGTCGTGACCCACCCGCCTCGGCCTCCCAAAGTGCAGGGATGACAGGCGTGAGTCACCGCGCCCAGCAGCATCTGCTTTTTATTCTACTCTCCAAATCAGGCACTGTGCCTTGATACCCTGCTATATAGAGACTGACCACCAGGCCTCCCCACACTCATACAGAGGCCAGAGACCGTCCATTCTAAGTTGTGGTCTCTCCGCAGGAAGTCCATCCTCTGTACACATCACCTTATTTAAACCTTATAAAACCTTGCAAGCTGGAGATTACTATCCCCCACCTTTTAGCTGCAGAAAATAAAACTCCCACAGATTAGATCACAATGCTGGTAAGCAGCAGAGCAAGATTCAACTCAGGCTGAGTACCAATTCCTGCTCTTAACCCGTATGCTGTCCTCCCTTCCCCACTGACTACTAAAGTTGTATATCTGCCAATTCCTTGGCAACTCAGAATAGCTGTCCTCCAGGTTCTTGCCAAGGATTAAAATCATGACCTCTGTGTTGTCCAATGTTTACACAAAATCCCAGGTTGGAAGAAATGTGACCTCTGTAGGTGGTCCATGCACTTCACTGAGAGGCAGTATAGTATTGTGGTTAAGCACCCAGGGTCTGGGGCCAGGCTGCTTGAGCTCAGCAGTTGAGTGAACTTAGCCAAGTTATTTAACCTTTGTGACTCACTTTCTACTTCTGTAAATGGAAACGATAATGAGATAATGACGGGGATGATAATACCAATCTTACTGAGTTCTTATGATGATAAATTAACGTACATAGAATACGAAGACCACTGCCTAGTGCTTAGAAAACATTATGTGACAACTCTTATGACCTGTCATCCATTTCTTTCTCTTTTCCTTTTTATTTCTTTCTTTTCTTTTTCCTTTTTGAGACAGAGTCTTGCTCTGTGGCCCAGGCGGCAGTACAGTGGCACGATAGAAATTCACTGTAACCTTGAATTCTGGGCCTCAAGTGATCCTCCTACCTCAGCCTCCAAAAGCATTAAGATTACAGGCATGACCCACCACACCCAGTCTGTCATCCATTTTTATAGCTAACTGATTCTTACATCCGTTTAGTCATAGTTTCTTCAATGGCAACTTATGCATCTCAGTTACAATGCTTACTGATGCAAGTCATAAAAACATGATTCACATTGGCTTACATTCGATTAAAATATCTGGAAATAGCTGAAATCAAGATGTAGACCAGATTCCAGACATGGTACAATCAGCAGTGAATGGTGTCATCAACAACTTACTTCTCTCTGTTACTCCATTCTGCCATCCAGCATCAGTGGCATCCTAAGGCTGGTTTATGGGGATGAGATGGCTTCCAGTGGTAACCAGAGCTTTGTGCTTCCTGTGCAGATCTAGAAAGAGACAGAGCATATACAAGCTTCACCATATGATAATTGAGCCAACTCAGGTCTCATGCTGAAGTGGATCCCTATACAAAATCAGACAGGACTAACAGCAACAGCCCCAAATCCCTGTACCCCAAAATGCAACATGCAAACTTGGCAGACAATTCCAGAAGTTTCACAGTCTGCTGATTAAGACCCTGTAGGAAGCCGGGCGCGGTGGCTCACGCCTGTAATCCCAGCACTTTGGAAGCCCGAGGCAGGCGGATCACGAGGTCAGAAGATCGAGACCATCCTGGCTAACACGGTGAAACCCCATCTCTACTAAAAATACAAAAAATTAGCCGGGCGTGGGTGGCGGGCGCCTGTGGTCTCAGCTACTTGGGAGGCTGAGGCGGGAGAATGGCGTGAACCCAGGAGGTGGAGCTTGCAGTGAGCTGAGATGGCACCACTGCACTCCAGCCTGGGTGAGAGCGAGACTCTGTCTCAAAAAAAAAAAAAAAAAAAAAAAGACCCTGCAGGAAATATTTAGAACATTACCCATAGAGGAAGCCAGACTCTCAGGAAGCTGTATATATGAAACACATTGTTTCAACCCCTCTTAGAATCACCATGACTGAATTGCATGTCAGTATCATGCCATGGGTCTCTTCTTCACCTATAACAGTGTTAGGAAAATAGTTTGCTTCTCCTGAGTGATTCATTCAATTTTATTTTATGGACAATGTAAAACATATTTAAACCATGTTCCCATCTCCCCTTAAGCACCTTAGGTTCATTGCTTACCTCAAGGAAAAAGTAGAATTAATTTTTCTGTGCTTACCCTGTACTTTGTTTTATTGTTTTCTTATGAATAATTTCCCTTCCTCCTAACTCAATTCATTACTTTGTATTGCATGTAACTTTTAATATGCAATGTATGGAAAAATATATGTATACTCAATGTCAGTCCCAGCATGAACAGTTAATTTTAAGAAGCAAACAAATATAAATATTCAGTTAAGGAGACAATTGAGTAAATTATGCATGTTTATAAAATTAAACACATTGCCATTAAGAGTTGTGTTTACAGCAGTGAAAAATAAAGAGATGAAAAATGATACAAAAATTTTAAGAATTTGGAGGATAGGGAAGACAGATATCTAAAAAAAAAAAAAAGAAACAATAAATGGACTGATGTTTCATCAGAAAAAATAGAGCCCAGATACAGTGGAATGCTATCCTCAAGGTACTCAGGAATATAATCATCAACAAGGAATTGTATACCTAGAGAAACCATCACTCAAGAGTGAGGGCAAAACAAAGCAAAGAGAGTTTATCACTCACAGGTCATTGCCGAAAGAACTACTGAAGATAGTTATTTATTTAGAAATAAATTGAACCCATAAAGTAGAAGAGGAACACATAAAACATTGTGGAGCAAATAAGTAGGTACATACAAAGGGAAGTCCAAATAAGTACCAACTGTAGAAACTAAAGAAACACAAAACAAAAACTCTATACATAATACAATGACTAATTTCAGGGCATTTAAAAACAAAACAGAACCAAAATTTTAGATAATGACGTGGATCATAAGTGAGAGTCACCAGAATTAAAACATTCTAAGGCTCTGGTATTGCTCCATGGAGGGTGGATGTGTTGATTTAATGTTAGATTTCTTAAATCAAGTATGTAGGCTAAAAATTCAAGGGTAACCGCTAAAAGAATAAAAATTGAATATGTACTTCTAAAAATATAAATATTCAAAATAAATATAATTATATTAAGTTTACCCACTAAAAGACAGAGCTTATAAAATTGTTTCTTAAAAATATGCCTTATTGGCCAGTGGCTCATGCCTGTAATCCCAGCACTTTGAGAGACCGAGGCGGGCGGATCACAAGGTCAGAAGATCGAGACCAACCTGGCTAACATGGTGAAACCCCATCTCTACTAAAAATACAAAAAAATTAGCTGGGCGTGGTGGCGGGTGCCTGTAGTCCCAGCTACTCGGGAGGCTGAGGCAGGAGAATGGTATGAACCGGGAGGTGGAGCTTGCAGTGAGCCAAGATTGCGCCACTGCACTCCAGCCTGGGTGACAGAGCAAGACTCTGTCTCAAAAAAAAAAAAAAAAAAAAAAAAATATATATATATATATATATATATATGCCTTATCTTCCTAGTGAATTTTTCATTTGATCATTATTTCATGCTTTATCTTTTTCCCTATAAATTATTTTTGTCTTAAAACTTGTTTGTCTTTTATAAATATAAATTTCAGTATCTTGAGTCAACCATTTTTAACATGTTAGAATGTTCCCTACTGGCCTTAAAGAAATTACATAAACATGTTACATTTTTTCCAGAAAGGCTTTGATTTAGAAGGATGCCCATTTTAATATGTGCATAATATTGATATCATATTCATTACCTTTTGATTTCTAGGTTTCCTAACTAATATGCATTCACATACATATTCAATTATTAATATGCATTTATCCTCCTAGACATGGGCAATATGTGTCAAAAGTAGAATATTCTCATTAGATTTTTGGTAGATGTTTGTCATCAAGTTTTGAAAAATATTTTTCATTTATAGTTGGTGAACAGTTTTTATTATGAACAAGTCTTTAATTTTACACTTTTAAAACATTAGAAGCTTTACAGGGTACCTGGTCCTTTGTCCCAAGTTCTATTCAACATTGTTCTACAGGAGATCTTACCCAACAGAGTACATCAAGAAAAAAAATTCAGAGGTAAATGGACTAAAAAAGAAGAGACAGCACTGGCATTATTCACAAGTACTGTGATTTCTTGATGTGGAAAATCCTTGAAAATTTCCATATGGACTATCAGAATTAGGAAAGATTTCAGCAACTATGTTAAATACAGCCACCATACAAATGCAAACTCACATGTCATCATTAATATTGCCCATGTCTAGAAGGACACATCATGTCACATTGTTAGAGCAGGCCTGGAAATCAAAAGATAGTAGATATGAAATTTACTATGATTTACATACTAACATGGACAGTCCATTAAACCAAAACATTTCTGGGAAAAAAATTAATACACGTGTGTATAATTTCTAAAGACCATTCGGGAACATTCCAAAATGTCAAGAATGGCTGACTCTAGGCAGTAGAATCTTCATATATGGCTTTTAACTTTCATCTCGATAATTATCTGTTTTACAAAATTTCTACAATAGGCATGTACTACTTATAATTGAGGGGAGAAATGTTTTAAACAAACAAACAAAAAGAAACCCAGACCCATCCAGCATCTCTACCTTACCTCCCACCTCCTTGAGGAGGCATTCTAACTAGCCTGAGAGTTCTTGCCAATCCAAACTGCTTTCTGCCCCATTAGTTCCATCTTACTTCAATTCTCATCGGAAAAAAAAATTTTTCCTCCATTTCTTCGTAGTGCATGTCTTAATTTCTCCTGCTCTGTTTCCTCTACCTATCTCATCCAATCATGCGGTGTTTTGGCCCAATAGAACCTAGATTATCACCTTTACTTAAACATGTGGCATCCCACACTGCCACGGTCCTTGGCAGAGAGCATGGCAGAGACATTGTGAGCAAGACCTGCCTTTAACACACAGTGGAGGCAGTTGCTGGGATGGGACAGTGTCATATGGTCTCCAATTCCACCCTTAAAACCTTTAGGTTAAGCATTTTCCTCTCTGGGTTCCTCTTTAAAGATTTAATTCTGCTGGAAGGTAATTAAACAGCAAAGAATTCTGTTTAAAATCTCCCTCACAGTGAAAAGGAGTGGAGGAAGTAGACAAAGGAAAAACAGTTTTACGTACTCTGGGACTAGGCCCACCTTGCAGTGAATTCCCAGCTCTTCTCGTGGCAAGGAAGAATCCTGGGAAGATCAGAAAGGAGATTGGCTCACCCAAGCGGACTTGTTTCATGATATGCTGGTGTTACTTTCTACTAAGAAAGACTTTTTCAGATTATTCTGCCAGAGTGTTCTGTAGAAACTATTACATCCAAGTTTTCAGAATTTGGACAAATCCTTTTAGTCTTACATCCAAGTACTTGGCTCATGAAAGTGAGTGAGAAAACCCATCAGGAAGCCTGTTTTGATAGACAGAAGTTGCTAGGGTAGGGAGGTTTCTCTGCCTATCCCTTACCCCAGAACAGGGGCCCATGCTGAGAGCAGCAGCAGGGCCAGCTCAGTGTCCCCTGCCCGGCCAACAGCCCCAGAGGGGTCTGGGCTGTGCACATGGCAGTTCCCCAGTGTGATTCCAGCTCTAGCCTCTCACTCAAAACCCTGCAACCTGGTCCAACACAGTAACTCCCTTGTCCTGTTCAGGTTGGTGTTTAGGTTTATTAGTTTAGAGGTTCCCATAAAATAGGCGTAGGGAAGACTGGGAAACCCAGAAACACCAAGTAAAACCTGGGCATCTTAAATGATCTAATTTTTTTTTCCAGGCCCCACAGGAAGTTTAAAAGAGTTGGCAATTTAGTCAGGCATACAGTCATTCACTCATTAAACAACAATGGAGCATCACCCACTGTGTAAGGCCCCTGCTAGGCCTTGGGGTCGCAGGTGGATACAGCATAATCTCTGTTCCAAGAACTTAGCAGCTAGATGGCAGGGATATAATAACAGGCAAATAACCATGAAACAAAGCAGCAGAAGAGAAGTATCACGAGAGAGTTCCAAACCAACCTTGGGGCCAAGGGGTTAGGCAGAGAGGTTGGAGTCCTGGATCTGACAATTTCTAGCTGTGTGACTTTGGACATGGCCAATTATTTACTGAGTGTGTTCTATATCCCAGACATGGTGAAAAGCACTCTACTATGCATGATCTTGTTTTGTCTTTATAATAACCATAGGAGGTGCTATCTCCTTTTATAGACTGGGAACAGAATTCAAAGCAAACACTGAGTTTGCAGTAAAAGATGTTTACTAGGGATCGGAACTTTTGAAAAAAAGCAGGAAGACACAAGATTGGGCAGAGGAAGAAGCTGAACTTTGATGAAGACCAAACAAAGCCTTG